GCTGGGAAGGGTTGGGGCAGCCAGGGGACTTTACCCACCGGCAACACTGAGCAGCAGAAGCAACATCCATGTTCCCCAGGACAGGGATGGCTGAGGACAGCCCCGGCGGCGGCGCGACCCTCGGGGTCAGCCCGGCGTTGTGGGTGCAGCCTCGGGGCACAGACAGACCCAGCGAGCCGCCTTAGGGCAGCGGGGAAACCCATACGGACGTGTCTGTGCTGGGTCTGATCCCCGCCAAAACACTTCTGAGCCTCCGAGGGTTGACCCAACACCGCTGGCGTCACCACGACCCACCTTCCCTACTGACCTCAGCCGTGCAGGAGGAGGAAGAGGGAGCAAAGGGGTAAGATGGACAAAGAACACCGTCCCGGCTGACGCAAAGCCCGTTTGTAAGAGCCTATGGGCTTTAAAAGGCTGTCGGACCCCAATCCCACCCTCCCCACTCTTAACCTTCCCCTCCCGGGAGCCAGCACGGCCCCACGAGCTGCTCCTCAACCCCGGGGCTCAGCCACGGGCGCCCTCGCAGCAGGATAACCTGTCCCTCAGTCCCGGCTTGGCCGTCACTCGTGCCTCCGCGCCGGGGACGTCACTCGGGGATGTAGTCCCTGAAGGAGTTGAAGCTGAGGCTCCGGCCCGCTGAGTTCAAGGTGGAGCTGGCTTGCATCTTGGGGATCTTCTCCATCAGCTTCGACACCGTCCTCCTCTTGAAGGAGCCCGGGGAGAAATGCCCCTGTCTCATGAGCTCCTGGTAGAGGGTGTTGAACACCGCCACGGTCTCTTCGTAGCTGTCCCGGGTGGAGATCTCGTAGAAAGGAAGCTTCAAGGCTTTGGAGAGGTTTTCGCCATCCTCCGTGGACACCATCCTATCGAACTGCAGGTCCTTCTTGTTGCCCACGATGACCACGGGGGGCTGCTCGCTGCCGCTGCTCCGCTTGGGGCTGGAGTGGATGTGGTTGATGAGGAAACACAGCCGCATGACCTCGTCAAAGCTGCACCGGTCCGTCACCGAGTAGACCACAGCGAAGCCATCGCCCCATTTGATCTTCTCCTCTATCTGCAGGGAATCCTCCTCCTGCCGGGGCAGATGAGCTCGTGTTAACACCAGAAGCCCCAACACCTCCTAAATACCAACGCTGCCAGTTGCAACCTGGAAAACCTCCCAAGGGGGCCCGTCACCATCTCCCTGAAGGTTTTTGGCGCCGGAGCAGTGACGTGCAAAGCAGCACGGGCAGTGCAGGGCAGGAGTTTGATGGGTTGGGCAAAACGATGGATGGAGACAGCAATCAGCCCCATCCTGGTGTGGAGGAGGGGAGAGCGAGCGCCGCCAACGCGGGAGCACAAAGGCAGGGCCGCTGCTGGATGGGAAGCCAGCACAGGTCCCTCCAGCGCCCGCAGTCCCGCTGCTCGGTGACTCCTCCCGCTCCCTGAGGCCGCCTCCGGCCCTCGGGATGCTCCACCGCCGCGGGGAGCAGAGCTGCACTGCACACCGGGAAGGGGAATGGGGAAATATTTAGCAGAAGCCACGCTGTAATTGATGTTAGAGACACCTAAACTCTCCAAAACATCCCTTTTTTCTGAGATAAACATGTCATAGAATCATAGAATTGTTGAGGTTGGAAGGGACCTTTAAGATCATCAAGTCCAACCATTAACTTAACCTGACAATATCGCAATCAATATTTTGGATAGCACAGGTTGAAGCTGGTGGAAGGGCAGGGGGTGCCTTCAACGGCAAGTCACGTGTCGCCCATGCTATTCCCCAGGGTTGGGCAGCAGTGAAACGGCGCGAGCTCACCTGTCCCGCCGTGTCCAGGATCTCAAAGTGCACCATCTCCCCGTCGATGACAGCCATGTGTCTGTAAATCATTTCTGGAGGAGGACAGGCAGGAAAGCATCGAGTGAGAGAAGCCCCCGGGCGGCAGACGACCACCCCGCTGCCCTCGATGCCACCCGCACAGGAGGAGTCGATTTCCACCTGCCACGACCTACAGCCCCTCTGGTCCCCGTTTCGAGGCCGCG